GCTGAGTGTTTCGGCTTAAGAAAAGTATAAAAAAATATTTGGAAGACTATTGGATCATTTTGAGCCAATTTTTTTCCTGCCCACGTACAATAAAAATTCCCCTGGCTAGGAGACAAGAAACTATTCTAAGACAAAGCTGGGGGGCAGGGAAAAGGGGGTGTGCGTGTTAGAGTCTGGTGAGTCCCTGAGAGGGGTTCCTGAATTCTACTCCTGTACCTCCACAAATTGAGTATGGTGTTCTGAGTTTCTGCAAACAAGAACTGGTTATTTCCTGGCTGGAATCCAAAAGATGGCAAACTCTGGTGAAATCCCCTAGCCAAAGAGGACTGTGACAGAGAAGTCACTTGATTCTTCTAGAGCAGCTGGGTATGGGCTACTTCAGAGGGTTTTGCTTAGTCTCAGATCAGTAGGGGAGGTGAAGAATGTGTGTGTGTGTGTGTGTATGTGTGTGTGTGTGTTACCCTGCAAACAGAGTCAGACCTGAGGAGATGATGATGAAATGCACATTAACTTAAGTACAAGAGACCAGTGGTACCACATCCAGCTTAGAGAATGCCAGCATGGACATGATGTCAGTTTTGGTTTTAGTGCAGGGTCCTTGGGTTCACACTGGGAAAGGTTTCACCAGAGCTTCCCTTTCAGTGGCACGCCTCGAGTTCCCAGCCATTTCTCCACAAGACAGAAACTCAGTTATATTTAAAGAGCAGATTTATGCAGAGTGAAATTCACCCTTCAGGTATATAGTTTTATGTAAGCCACACTTTACTTAAATGATGTTTAGATGAGCCTTTGGATTTAGAATGAGATGTTAGAATGAGTTAAGGTTTTTGAAGCTGTTGGAATAGAATTTGTTACACAGCATCCCATTTCTCGGCACCAAGATTTTAGTTGCTTCAGGCTGCCATAATAAAATACCACTAACAAAACAGATGGGTAAGTTAACAGAAATTAATTTCTCACAGTTTTGGAGGTTGGAAAGTCCAAATTCAAGGTGCTCACAGGTTTGGTGTCTGGTGAGACCCACTTCTTGGTTCACTGTCAATGTCCACATGGTGGAAGAGACAAAGAGCACTCATGGGTGCTCACCCTCAAGACCTAATCACCTTAGAGACCCATCTCTTAAAACTGTCACCTTTGGGCTTAGGTTTCAACATTTTTTTAGAAGGATGCAAATAGTCGGGTCTACAGCAACTGTCTTTAGATCTTAAGAACCAAGAACCAGTTCTGAAAGAGAAAGGACTTGAAAGGGCCTGAGCTACCCAAGATAAGCCATTGTTTACCCAGAATTTTGTGCCAGGGTTTAGGTCTGTCTGGAGCCATGAGAGACATTAAGGACCATAAAAAGTCTTGTTCTCGGAATCTGCTCTGGCAAGTATGTGCGGTGATAAGAATTATAGCCTTCGAGGGAGGGATCTGTGGTAAGGCACCTTCCTCTCTGTAGGGCTCCTGAGGTTCCTGTCAGAGTTGAAAATGGCTACTGGCTATCTTCAATCACTTCTCCCCTCTCCACTCCAGAGGGGGTTTTGTTGGTTTTGAGCCTGAGAATGTTCTTTCTCTTCCACAGTGGTAGGAAAGGCCTACTCAAGACAGAGATGTTTCTGGATGTATGTGACACTAAGGCAATGTCTGTTGGTCATTTCTCAGGAAAATGCACATAAGGTCAATGACGCAAAATACTGAAAATGATGTAGTGTGGTTACATCAGCTGTTTTTTTAGTTATATAAGACAGGTCTGAACTGGAATTTCAATTCTGTAGTTTCAATTAAATGGCTATGAACATTCAAATCTGTCTCTTAATTACCTAATTTTTGCTAGGAAAGGAGGAAGATGTATAATTCTGAAGGGTTTTAAATCAAATGAAGACCCTGATGTGAGCAGTTTCAGGACACTAGATACAACTAATAGTCTAGCACATGGCAGCATTACTCAACAACTGAAATAACAGCTCATGAAAGGACTCTTCTCTCATTATTCATTTTGTTTCTTCTTCTAAGTGTGTTTCTATACATTGCAGGGTTCTTATATCACTTTCTGAACCTTTGGCCTAGTGACTTACCCTTTGAGGCATGCTATAATCACTGAGAAATGTGCTCCCTGTCATATCTTATTGCTATAATTATGGCTCTATTTAGACTCAAGTCATTTGGATCTTATCCCTATTAAGTTATCTTTGAGTTCACACCAGTCTGGACCATTTCTCTCATTTTGGCTTGGGCAGTAATTATTGTCCCAACTTGGTTCAGCAACACCTCAATTATCAGAATCAGTTCTTACATTTATGCTACTGTCCATATAAGATAGTATCAACCCTTTGTCAGAAAGTCATGTGCTTAAATTTAATTTTTCCAACTTGTTTTTTTCTAATAAATTCCGGTAGGGCTGCTATTTTACGTGTGACACACAAAAAGCTCCCATCTTTCTAACTTATTCTTGTTCTGGTGGTGGCAATTCATTCAAAGTTTGAACAAAGTGTCTCACAGAGGTTTCTTGTTTTTTTCCTAGTACATGTATTGCTCCTCTTTGCTAAACACACTGAAAAAAATGGCAGGCCCCACTTACATTTATAATTGTCAAACAATAGTAGAATAAATAAAATTTACAGTTTTCTGAAAAACTGGGACTTTGAGAGGATGCATCTATTTTATTGTTCTATTTACCTCTTTTAAATAAGCCAGTATTGTCCAGTTTTATGAGTGTAGACATCTTATGCCATCAAGTAGACTATAAGCTTCTTAAGGACAAAAGATACAGATCATATACTTCTTATTTAATCAGAACCTTGGTTATACCTGTAGCTATAGTTATCTGGTCAATTGTATGGAGGATATCATACTTTCAAGACAGCTGTTTGATACCAGGAATTTGCAAAAGCAGCCTGACATTAAGGTAAAGGCAGACTGGAGAATAGTGTCCTTCTTCATCCTTCCAGAGAGTACTTCAAGTCAGGCCTGGGGGAGATCTATGTTGAGGAGAGGGCTAATTGCCGTGGTCTAGAGTGGCCCCAGGCTTTGTCTGGCAGACTGAGTTCTATCTATCAGGGCCTCCTAAAATGCTGACTTGGCTCCTTAGAAATACAAAACCCCAAACATCATTTATAAAGGTCACTGGGAATGGCTTGGGTCAGAATTACTTGAGTCCATTTTGTGCCAATGCCTGGGAAGAGGAAATCCCTGAATACTTATATAAAGCTTCTTGAGAATACTATGTTGCTAAATCCAAACAGAATAAGAGAGGTTTATAGCCAAGTTTTTACTCTATAATTCAAATGCCAATCCAGCAATAAAATATGTTCTAGAAATTCTAATCAGAGATTTTTATCATGACTTGGAAACCAGCTGTGCTCTGAGTGCAAAGATTTACCACCTCCAATTGCTGTAATTCAGGAGAATTATGCAGATTTGAAAAAACTCAAGTATTTTAAATGAGAACCTCGCTGTAAAAAAACTCTGCTTCTTTGAAATATTTAAAAAATTGCTCCAATTTAAAAGCTGCAGGTAATCCAAGTAAATGAACTCTTAAAATACAGGAACTCAAGTTCCCCTGTAGGCTATTTTAAGATAATAAGTGAAAATTAGAATTTTGTATACAAATCTTTAAGTAAACAAGTGAAATAAGTAGTTAACTCCTAAATTACAAATCAGATCATGATAAACTAGGATAACCTTATTCTTTAGCTAAAATGGGACAGAAGTTTAACATTAGACAGTGCTACCAAATTAACTCATTAATACAATTAACTCATAGTTGTCATTTTGAACCAATAATTTCCTTTATAGAAACTAACAATTATTGTGGATTTTATGAATACATATATCAAAGGTCTTTTGAGTGTATTTTATGATTTTAAAAGATAGCAGGGATATCCCGGAGAAGCCAGTGCATCTGGTCCTCATACCACCATGACCCTACTTCTCATTTATTTGCTCTTGTTCCTCTCACACATGGGATACAGCTGCTTTGCACAAAACTGATGCAATATAACTTTGTCACTTATATCATCACCTAAGCACTCAGATACCACCCTGGGAAAGTCAAGCAAGGTAAGCTTTTCAAAGTAGTGGTTTCAGTAGATCTTTTACAGACATATTTGAAAGCATTTCACATACATAAACACAATCCCTGACTAGGATTTGTGAAAGCAAAAATTTCAAGTGGAGGGAAACAGTGAACTTCATGGCCTGATATATGTAAGTGATACATCAGGAGTTTAGAACCACAGCTTTACTAGCACTCTGAGTTAAAAAATCAGCCAGTTGGCCAACAGGCCAGTAGTGAAATGTCTGGCTTTCAAATTCCTTACCCATAAAATAAGATGATTATATCATATCTCCTGAGGTTCTATTCAATTCACTCATTTTATATTTCTCATTTCTCCAAATACCTTTTAAGTACTTGAAATACTTAGACTTGAATATTAGATTGTAGCTATCTATTAATCAACACTATGGAATCTCATTTACAGAATTTTTCTTAACACTCATGAAACAGTAGATAAATGGATCTATTTCATGGAGATATAGGATGCATTACTGCTACATATGGCTTAAGAATACATCTTACCTGTCTGGAAAATTTCCTATAAAGGTAAATAAAAGACATCATTTGATATGTATATTTCTTAGAAAAATCAGCAGCTTTTAACTTTTATGGAAATCAATCATGAAGAAAAATACAATTTATCAATCTTCAGAGAAGTCAGTAATGGAAAGCTATTTCAACTCAAATAATATAAAAATGCAAAGCTCATCCACATTGCTAGGAAATACTAATACCCTTAGACAAACTCACTTTATAAAATAAACAGAATGTTTCCCGCTTTTACTATTATGGGTACAATATTACATTGACCTTATTTTCTTTTATGATTCTTTTGTTAAGATTTAAAATTCATTATTTGTACCTTTTGGAATTTTTTGATAGATCATAGTTTAATGTGATACAGATTTAATGAGAAACTGTAATATTTATTTATACATTCACATATAGCACAATGTAGTGATCAAGTAGTAGTGATAGTAATTAACTAATAAAGTGACAAGAAAAATCATCATTTTAACCACTTAAATACTTTGTGACAGGAAATATGTCTATTATATAAAACAGGTAACTTTAGAAAGAAAATACATCAATTCTTTGGATAATCAAACGTTACAATAGCATTTTCTGTATTATTTTCAGTCTTACTGTAGAAATATTTTCATTGCCTAAATCAAATCAATGCACTGATTAAAGGAAAAAAAAACAATAATCAATAATAAAATTACACACATAAATGATATGCTTATATAAACACATCTGTGTGTGTATCAACTAACTCAGGTTATATAAAACTCAGTTTGTCAACTAAAGCTATTTAGGAAGCAAATTGAAGACAAAGTAATGTTGGCTTAAGTTGTCTTCAAATAAGTTGCAATTTCCAAATTGTTTTTTTGCAACTCAAGGTAAGATCCAAATAGATAATGCTACCTACTTTTTTTTTGTTCCAATGGTTTTTTTTTCACATGTTAATTTTGTCTCTATTAACCAGGACTCTGTTCTCAACTCTTCTCCAAGGTATCAGTTTCTATTTCAATTTTCTATATTTACCTGGTCTAAAAACACTCTGAGCTAACTAGTTTTTCTTCCACCTTTTTAAGTCACTTGCTTTTACCCATTAATAAGGGTACATGAAAGAAACTGACCAAACTCAAGGGGAACTAGGCCCCATACATAGAATGATCATAACTTGAGGTTTTAGAATGGTCACATATGCTAACATTCACTGAAAAGTTAGTATGATTTTAAAGACACATTTATCAGAACAAAATACACTTCACTGAATAATACATCAGTTGGAAAGAACAAACACCAGCACTTCATGTGGTCAGAACAGCTGAAATGTCATTTACATTAGTTTTAACTTCTTGATTTGGGTGGTTTGGATTAAGAAAGGGACTGCTATTGGAATTTTCACACTGTTCATCTACCTTTGGGCAAGCACTTTGTGGTGGATGCTTTTTGTTCTCTTTAGCAAATGTCACACTCTCCTCAGAAGGCTGACATGGCCTCTCTGATTGGTTCAGTTGTTTCCTTGTTTCTGCTTCTTGTTCATGAAGCAACCTTTCCACCTCAACTTCAAGTTCCAAAGTTTCCTCATCGGCTTGTACATCCAGTTGTTGCATCAATTCCTCCAGCTTTTTGGCCTTACGGAGTTCATTCTGCTGTATGATGGTGCAAAGGTGCTCAGTGAGTTGCTCTTTAATCTCTGTCTTGCGCTGTAGATCTAGTTTTGCTGTAATGTACTCTGCTTCAGCCCTGTCAAACCGCTTCCTGTAGGAAAAGTAGAAAGATTGGTCCATAGGTTGCCATTGAGGCAGGTCTAGATCAATAAAACCCAAAATTGGGGAAGCAAATGTATAATGAAGATATGGATATTGATACTTTAATGAACACTTACCTGCATGTTAAGACAAACTAGCTTAATGTTGCTGAAAATTATGAACATCTAAATATGTGGCCTCTCCTAATATATCATCGTTCTTATGAACTTTTTTGTTCTTTGGCTGTTGTTGAATAAAAGCACACTAAGCTGGTTCTGATAGGGAAGAGCCCTGATTTGCAACGTTTTGCTAGTCTGCAGATAAACACTATCACCTTGGTCAAATTCAAGCTATTGCTGTGATAGCTTGAATACAGAATTGGCAAGTTACCTAAAAGCTGTCCTCATGACAGCAGTAGAAAACTAGTTAAACGAGACAGTTGACCCTAACAAATCTCTTAATTAAAAGACCAGAAAAGGAAGAAAAATTTTGGCGCTGAAAGATATGAACAATGGTTGGGAGCTAAATATATACAGGGCAGTGCATACTCAATAAAATAAAACTGATGACAGCAAGAAGTAAACATCAAGTAGAATAGAAAACTTCAGGATTGGCTCAGAAAGGGTTTCTCAAATTCAGCACTGCTGAAAATTTGGTATTCGAAGTGGGGAGCTATCCTATCCATATAGGAAGCTTAGCAGCATCACTGTTAGTTAGCCCCTATTAGCTGTCAGTCTCACCCCCAAGTTGTGATAACCAGAATAATTTCCAGGCCAGGCATTACCAAATATCTCATAGGAGAGACAAAACCACCCCTTCTTGAGAATCTCTGGGTTCAATGTTTCACCCTGTCCACTTTGACAGACTATTGTTAGGTGTTTTCTAGAAAATTCTACATTATTTACATACACCCACATATATAAATCTCCACAAACAGACAATGCCAGTCTTATGTGTCTTTTGCATTAGACTGGTACAAAAAGAAAGTTAACACACACACACACACACACACATTTCCCCCCCCCCAAAGATTTATTTATACATTCAAGAACTAGGGTGTAGGGCAGAGGTGAAGGGGCTGAGAGGATTCACCAGAGACAAAATGGGGAGCAGAACAGGCCGATCTACTGAAATATACTGCTGACGGGAGCAACGAGAGAAAAAGGAGAGGTCTGCTGCACCATGTGGGTCACCTCCCTGGTCGGGGATTGAACCCAGGTCACAGTGGGTGGCAATAGTTTGATAGCACTGAGACTTAACCCTTGTGCCATCACTAGGGAGTCCCAACATAGATTGGTTTATTGTCTTTGATCTCTTCCATGATTTATTTTTGTCAAGAAAAGAAGATGATTCCCACTTACCAGCTACTTACTTTAATTACCACTAGCAACTGCAGAGGTCAAGCTACCATATTTGTTATAACCATCTATATCAACTATACTAATTTCTAGAATTAGAATTATGGCAAAAGAGAACAAGCATAGCTCCAAATGTAAGTTTCTCTGTCTTGGAAAAAAATATAGTAAAAGACAAAGAACTTTAATTTTTGGTAAATTGGGGTTCGAAATCTGCCTTTGTCTTTAGCTATGTGTATACCTGGTTTGGTAAGGCCTTTTTTGGATATAAAAAACAGATACCCAGCCAAACTAGCTCAATAAAACAAGGCTTTTATTGTAGGATATAGAAGATAATCTCAGAAGCATGTCATCAAAATCAAAGGCTATTTTCTTCAATGTTATGAGGTCACACAGTTTCTCTCACTCTGGATTTCCTATCATTCCCTTAGCCCAGTATGATGACCAGCTGTGGACCCGTATCAAATTCACTCTGCTCTGTCTCTGTGTTCCAACTGCAAGACTGGAGATGGAGGATCTGGGTTGGCCTGGCTCATACCAGTTTAATCAGGACTCTTAATACCAGATCATGCCATGAGCCCATTTAGCCTATGGATTAAGTGTTCTTCAGTTGGTCGCCCATGTCTGTTCTCATCAAGTGTGCCCCTAGGTTAGCATCATGAGTATTAAACATGGCCTAGCTGCTAGAGAAGGGGCTGAAGAACAGGCATGCAATGATTGAAAGTTTAGCACTATGGCACTGGATGGTTTCAACTGGTCTTGGTCTATATATAGAATGGTGATAATAATAATTAAAGGAGTATTAAGAACTATCTAGTATAAATCAGGCAAGAGTGTAGGCCAGTATCTGGCAGGCATGCAGGAACTTACCACTCAGGTAAGTTCATCATAATCAAAAAGTACTGCTAGTACATCACTAAATATATCTAAAATTAAAGCAGATATCTAAAATACAAAGCACCTGACATTTATATTTGAAAATTTATTTATGAATCATGTTTTTTTTTTTTTTACTGTCACCTAGTAAATATAAGGAGAATACAAGCTACTTTCTAGTAAGCCCCTGTGTTAAATATGTGTTCCAAAGAACTCTGTTAGCTATTACGATCTTATATTACCATACTTTATAATACATCCTGTTTATGAATGTTCCTGCAATATCTGAAGACATTGTTCTTTAAAGACAATCTTCTTTGCAGGTATATGAAATCCTGGCTCCTTCCCCCATACCTCCCTTCTCAGCGATCTCCTTGAGTCAGTCAAAGACAGGAAAGATTTACTGACTGGGCTCATGAATGTTGAATTGAAATTAAGATTTGCAAATAGGTCCCTGGGTTTCTACCAATCTTTCTCCCTGGATAAATCACTGAAGATTTTTCATTTTGTTTATTTATGTAAAGTCTTTCTGGCGAGGAACATGCATATATATTCTTGTACCAAGTGATTTATGTTTAAAAATTGATTAGTTTCACAAACTACTTTACCAGTCTGGGGATCAGGTGGATAATACCAAATGAGAGTATGAGGACTTACTTTGGACAGAATAATGAAAGCATTATGTATAACATAGTCAGGTAAATTGAACTGGTAATGTAATTATAGCATTGTTTTGTTATTTTACAGAGACAATGAATGATTTAGTGAATGCTATTTAAAGGATTCAAGAAACTGTCCATTTAAAAACACTGACATTAAAAAACAATTCAATCATTAATCCATGGCATGCCATTAGGTCCCATTAATCCACTTTTAGGTTTGTAGATCCTTGACTGAGAAGTTATAACTATTTGTAAGGATTAATATAGCATGATTTTGATCTTTTCTCAGATTTTTCCCAAAGCACAAAGAGAATTATTATTTATATATTTCAAAAGAAAATACAACTAACTCTACTTTACAAAATGAGCCCACTGATCTTTTATAAACATACTTATGAGAATCTCAAGGTATTATTTTTCCTATGCAGTTTTCTCCCGCTATCCAATAGTAGAGCATCATTATAAAATACTAAGTAGTCTCAAATGGCATAAAGTGAAAAGTAATTACCATTAACTTACATGGAACATTTTTTAGTGTTTCAAGGCCCTAAAAATGATCTGCCAAATCGTACTAAATAACACACAAAATCTAAAATAACATGTAGTAAAATCTATAATGCTATAACTATTCATCCTTCATAAAGCAGTTCGTGAGGAAGAAACTTGGTGGTGCCACACAATGATACTCTTGCTGCCTCTGTAACAGCCTGCTGCAAAATAAACACTGAATTCTCAATTTTCGCTTTTTAGCATAAAAGTGGAAATACTCTTAGCAGTTCTTTCAACTGTGAAAACAGATATGGTGTAGGTCTTTCATAAAAGTGAAGTGGTATAACATGAACTTTCTAAAAACAGGAATCCTTGCATCTTAAAACATCTTGTTATTTCATTACCCTAGAAATTACTTCCTCAAAACTAATAAATTATTTCCATTCATGTTTAAAAATTCATAAATAAAACAGAGCATGATGACTTAAAGGATGACGATGTAATGAAATAGAGCAATACTGTTTTCCTTACAGAGCTGTCCAAAGTATTACATCACCTTTCAAAAAGATATGAAAGACCAGAAACACCATATTTGTAGTATGCGCTCAACTTTCATTGAACACAGCTGAGAATTAGTACTTTTAAAAAAGATTTATTTATTTATACATACAGAACTGGAGTATTATAGGCCAGAGGTGAGTGTGTG